AAATGATTACATTTATCACTAAAATTAGAATTTTATTAAAAATTTAACGCAAAACTATATATTAATTATAAAAAGGCGGCTATTTATCGTCTTTGTGGTGACAAAAATCCTCTACATATCGATCCCTTATTTGCATCGGCAGGAGGTATGCATTACCTTAATCTCTAATATTCGGGAAATACTTTAATTATTATTTCAAAAATAAAAGGGTTCACAAGTCCTATACTCCATGGCTTGTGTACAATGGGTTATGCAGTGAGACATGTATTGCGTGAGTTTGCCGACTATAATGTGCTGAACTTTAAAAGCATTAAAACGCGATTTTCTGGACCCATAACTCCGGGAGAAACTATTGAGACCCATATGTGGAAAGAAGGGAATCGCATATATTTGCAAAGTTTTATCAAAGAAAGTGGAAAACAAATTATTTCTGGTGCTTATGTGGATCTGATTGAAAATAACGATAAAAGCTATAATTCGACAAATTATTCCCCAAATTCTCAATTATCAGAGGTTTGACAATATTTATATAATTTGTACATTTACTGTAATTAATTGTTATTTGATTTTCATTTCATAAGAATGAAAATAATTTTGGTTTGAGTTCACAAATGATGCCAAACGTGGAGGACTTGATTGTGGATGAAATAGACAACTATTCGGTCAAAGAATACCAGGCGATGGATGAGGCGAACCAAGGGTCTAGCGTTCAATACGTATGCGCTCCCTATGGCTCACATGACGGACAATCAGATGGAGGCGATGGTCAGAGCTCACGAATCGATAAGATATTCGGCGGTTGGCTATCCGTTAGAATCAGAGATCACAAAGAATTGGTTCCTATTATAAAGACCGTCTATCAGTGGAATATCACTAAAAGTGGCAAAATTATTACCGTTTGGAGTAAGACTTCTGTATTCTATAGTTGTATTCAAATTAAATTACTTTTAATTATCAGCTCTGGACTTAAAGAATGGCGAGGGATCTGTTTATAAAGGCAGTCCCAACACTGGGAAGGCTGACTGCACTCTAACCATCGATGAGGAAAGTGCTGTCAATGTGTTTGAAGGTCGTGAGGACGCTATGAAAGTATGAGTTAATTATGACTAAAATGAATAGAATTGAATGAATCTAAATATACAACAATATCTTATTTAAAGGCTTTCATGGGCGGCAAATTGAAAATAGCCGGTAATATATTAGCCGCACAAAAGTTGCAACAACTGTGGGCAGAGGAGGCTCCCCGGGGGTCCGTCTCCCTCGACCAACAGCCAGAACTGCAACCAAATCACGTGTCAATCACATCATCAAATAATTTGGATGATTCGGTGCTTCTAGAGGCGAGTTATTTGAGTCGGTATTGAAAACTTATCTGACAATTAACTTTACATACAGTCGGTGCCCGTCTCTGGACTCAAATGCGATATCGTTTTTACGGTATTCAAGAATCGTATGCATGAAGAGCCAGATCTGGTCCGACGGCTTAAAGTTGTTTTTCAATTCAATATAACAGTGGACGGACAGCAGAGAACTACTTGGAGTACGATATCATTTATGATGTAAATTATTATTAACTTATTTGTGTTGATTATAAAGCCTGTGATAATAAGTCCCGACCCGAGGGAGACGTGTATTTGGGAACACCTAAGAATGGCAAACCCGACTGCACTGTTACTGTCGAAGACGACGACTTTCTTAAGCTTATGGTCGGCAAACTGAATCCACAGCGGGTTAGTGGCCATTAGTATACAAATTGTTACCGTATTATCAAAATATATTGACTGAACTGTATGTGTGGACAGGCATTTATGATGGGCAAACTCAAAATCAAAGGCAATATAATGCTTCTCCAGAAACTCAACTCTTTATGGCTAGACTTGCAAAAAGCAGGGAAAGCACCGGAATTACCATTTTTAACTGATATGATGCTTAAAACGGTTTGTGAATTGAACTCTCAATTGTCAGATATGTTGTACCGATACTAACATTACATGTGTTATATTAAATATTGCATAGGCTGTGATCCCGGGTCTTAAAAGTGAGTCAATGATTGTCGAATTGGTTCAGCGAATGGTGCGTTTGCCTCAACTTTGCACTCAAGTGTCAACACTTATCGGCTTTAATATCACTAAAGATAACAAATCGGTTTCCAAATGGAGTAAGAATTTGCTATAAGAGTATAGAAATGAATGTACGGTATACTCAAAATATGATTTATTCAATCGTTAAGCACTGGATTTCACTAAAAACAAGTTAACCGGAGTTTTCGAGCGGGGATTACCTGAGAAAAGTGATTGTATTCTTACTATCGATGACAATGACTTCGTAAGATTGACATTCAATCGGATCAATTTGCTTGACGTTAGTAATCGAGAAATCGCTAACATTTGATGACATTTGACTGATTGTTCTATTGTTTAGTGCATTTCGAGCGGACGAATCCAATTAGACGGCGACAGAAGTGTTGCCCAAAAGATCAACGTCTTGTTCACGACTCCCACCACTAAATCCAAACTTTAAGAATTTTAGTGTTTATGTCACTTATGTTTTACAAGATTTTATATTAGTTTTCATTTTTCTAGTTTTATACACAAATTATATATCAAATGATTATTAAAAAGTAAAAATCAATTTTAAAATAAAAATTTGTTTTTATTCTAATTTGCAATAAAATTATATTCTAATGCTTTTTGTTGGCCTGTTTTGATGACACTATCGACTCGTATTTGCTTTTACTTCTGTACCACAGGAGGAATGGGAACAGAAGTGAAGGCAAAGTCATGATGGCGAATGCCGCCCAATCCAACTGATCCATCAAACAAACACACAATCGTTAATAAGACATACATTTCACTATGAATTGCTTCAATCAATTACCACATGAGGAGAGAATCTGCGGTCAAACTCCTTCAATGAGACAATGAATCCTTCGCCGGGTTCTGAGGTATAGCCCAATTGGATGTCTTTGGAGTCTTCGCTCACCAAATAAGTCACTTCTCCGGCAGTGAAGTTAAATCGGCCCCAAATGCCAGCCTTTGGCCGAACCACTGATGTGTGCGTTATATTGGATCCGCTGAAACACACAACACATGACACACGCCATCAATACAACACTCTCTCTGAGCTTACGGTCCGAGTCTGGCGATCGTCACCTTCAAGACACCACTCATCACATCGAAGTGTTCGCTCGAAAAGCTGTTATCCGTTATGTGGACATCGATGGCGGGACTGAGCATCACATCACACATTAATCACTTGCTTTCAAGTATGCAATCAATGGAGTCATACCTCTGTCCGACGTTAAAGATATTATAGTTGACAACAATGTCTCGATTCTCCACCAAATACTTGTTGAGGATCTGCTTCTCTATGAGAAGTCTGGCCGCAGTTACCGCTTCCTCTTCGGCCAAAACAAGCACATTCAGTGCGAGACAAAAGGCAGAGATCAACAAAACCTTAACCATTGCTGCGATATAACGATAATGAAGACACAATCAGGCAATTGATTCAATTGAGTGCTGTTTCGGTGAAAACATATGAAATGATGTGTTGTTTGAATGCAGTGTTTGTGTTGGCATTGATTGGTCTCACAGTGAATGCACTGCAGAGAGCAGTCATGCAGTCATTCAATGCATTAAATGCCAGCGAATGACACGTGGACCCCAACACCGGTTTCGATGGTATCGATCGACACGAGAACGCATCGATTGCAATGAAATGCTTTCGAAATGAGTGGTGAGTGTGGGGACAGTGATGGCGTCCACAGTGTATGCCATCCCCCACACGTCACGCCATACACAGCAGTGATTGGGTGAAGCAGTTTGAGCATTGAAGGCATTCACAGCAGCATTGATAGCATTAATAGAGACAACGTTTGCTGAAAATCTCTCTCTTTCAGGCGATTCTTTCAACCGTTCGCTTCAATCAGTCATACGTTTTGATTGTATTCAGGAATTGTGCACTAAATCCACACAATATGGTATGTATTGCTCTCTTTCATGACATTAAGCCATCGAGGAATGCATTGACACCACAATACAGTGGTCAGAGGGCCGTAGTGTCCGTCACTGTGGTGTCGGGATGTGAGGCATTGTATGCAATGGTGTGAAGGCATGGCCTCTAATGGTGTGAATGGAGGCGCCGATGGCTCGCATCCAGCGGTCACTGTATGGGAACTAATGTGTCTTCCGGTGTAAAAACAGGTGAACTTCACAGTAGACGAGATCCGTGTGATGATGAACAAGAAGCGGAACATCCGCAACATGTCTGTCATCGCACACGTAGACCACGGGAAGTCCACTTTGACGGACTCGTTGGTCTCGAAGGCCGGTATCATCGCTGCCTCGAAGGCGGGAGAGATGCGCTTCACTGACACCCGAAAGGACGAACAGGAGAGATGTATTACCATTAAGTCGACCGCCATTTCCATGTACT